AAAGAGGGGGGAGGGGAGGGGAGAGAGAGAGATGTCAAAAGAATTTTGTGGTTGAGGCCCAATCTAGCATCAGCACAAGTTTTCAGATCTCTTGATAAAAGATCTCGGTACTCTTCTACGCAGTTTTCAAGCATCCTGCTTGGTTTAATTAGTGAAACATGAAGGAAATATATGTATTTCATAAAAATAACAGTTTTTAAGTTACTAGTCAGTGCTTTGGATACTGCTCTCAAACAGAATTGGCAGATTGGATTATCATGATTCATTTAACCCGAGTAAATAAACCAATGCAGTATAATGATGCAGTCCAATACAATGTCATCAGTCCACGCATAATCGGTATGGTTCAGAAAATTCACAGAAGAGTCCAACTTCTGTGACATGAGCCTTGGTGGTGCAGCGGACTAAACTGCTGTTAAAGTAGCACTTAGCGGCCAGCTGCCTGCAATTACTGCGAGTTCAATTCTCACCAGGCTCAAGGTTGACTCAGCCTTCCATCCTTCCAAGGTAGGTAAAATGAGGACCCGGTTTGTGGGAGCAATAAGCTGACTTTGTATAAAATAGAACACGGCTTGGGGGGGGCAAAAAAGCCCTACTAAGCAGGTATATACAAAAGTATGAAGGCTATTGCTTTTTTTTTTTTTTATTGAAAAAGTTTTAAAACAATCCCACAACCCCCCCTCCCCCTCCCCGACTTCCCAGAGCAGAACACAAGGTATTTCTATTGACCTTTAACAGTAAACTAAATTGCATAACCAATCATTAAACTAACACCCCTAAAAAAAAATTTCTTAACCCCCCATATATAAAATCCTATTTCTTAAACATAATACTTCTAATATCACTTATATAACACTTATACAAATAAAAGAAATCATTCATAAGCTATTTGATATTTTTTGGTCTGATACTTATTTTGTATATAATCAATCCATCTTCTCCAATCCTGTATGTACCTTTCTTGTGTATGATCCTTCAGATATGCTGAAATTTTAGCCATTTCAGCTAAATTAGTTACTTTCAATATCCAGTCATCAATAGTAGGCAAAAAGTCCTTCTTCCAGTGTTGTGCTACCAACAATCTTGCTGCTGTTATCAAGTTCAAAATCAATTTAGTCTCTGCAACTGTACAGTCCGTAGTTATACCCAATAAGAACAACTGTGGAGTAAATTTCAGTCTCTTTTTAAAAATATTCTGCATCACCCACCAAATCTTTATCCAAAATGCTTTGATTTTACTACAAGTCCACCATATATGATAATAAGTTGCATCATCACAGTCACATCTCCAACATTTAGCTCGCACATTAGAATACATACATGATAATTTTTTAGGATCTAAATGCCATCTATAAAACATTTTATAAAAATTTTCTCTTAGATTTTGTTCTTGTGTAAATTTCACATTTCTAATCCAAATCTTTTCCCAAGTCTCCATCATTACTGGCTCTTGAAAATTTTGTGCCCATTTAATCATACAGTCTTTAACCAATTCCGTCTCAGAATCTATTTCCAATAAAACGTTATACAACCTTTTAATATGCATTTGTTTTTGATCTCTAATTTGTTTTACCAAATTCTCCTCATTTTGCACAAAGCCAGTTTTTTGATCTTCCTTCCATCTAGCTTGAAGTTGACCATACTGAAACCATGTATAAATTATACCTTCTTCTTTCAGTATATCTAAAGATTTCAAATACATTACCCCCCTTTCCATAATAAGAAGCTCTTTGTAGGTAATCACCTCCTGTTTTTGTTCTGTACTTATGTTTTCTATTGCATGTCTAGGATTTGCCCATAAAGGTATCTTATAGTTTAACTTATATTGATATTTTTTCCAAACCCTTAACAAAGCATTTCTTAATATATGAACCTTAAATACTTTATCCACTTTTTTATCATATTACAAGTAAGCATGCCATCCATATAACAAATCATAACCTTCTAAATTCAAAATTCTCCCCTCAGTTAAGTTAAACCAATCACTAATTTGTGATAAGACCGCTGCTTCATAATATAATCTTAAATTAGGCATTTTAAGACCCCCTCTTTCACGTGTATCTTGTATAATTTTCATTTTTATTCTGGGTTTTTTCCCAGCCCAAATAAAAATATTAACACCTTTCTGCCATTCTCTCAGATTTTCATCTTTCTTAAGCACAGGTATCATTTGGAACAAAAATAAAAATCTAGGTAAAACATTCATTTTAATTGCTGCAATTCTACCCAATAAAGACAACTGTAGTTTTTTCCAATTTTCCATATCCTTCTGTACCTTCTGCCAAAGTACCTCATAATTATTTTTGTATAATTTTGTGTTTGAAGCTGCTATGTATACCCCTAAATATTTAACCTTTTTAACTATTTCAAAATCTGTTAATCTTACTAGTTTATCTCTTTCAAGTATAGTCATATTTTTAACTATCATCTTTGTCTTATGTGAATTAACTCTAAATCCTGATACTTTCCCGTACCGATCAATTATGTCCAATATATATGGAACTGACTCTATAGGTTGGGATAAAGTAATAACCAAGTCATCTGCAAATGCTCTTAATCTATAATCTTGTTGTCTAATTACAATACCCTTCAACTTTTCTGAGTCACGTATCTTATTCAATAGTACCTCCAGAGTCAAAATAAATAATAGTGGGGACAGAGGACACCCCTGCCTTGTTCCTTTCTCAATTTTAAAAGCCTCTGTTAAACCTCCATTAACTATAATTTGTGCGGTTTGCTGCTGGTATATCGCTCTAATTGATTGTGAAAAATATTCACCAAAGTGCATTTTCTCTATTATTTTAAACAAAAATTGCCAGTTCAAACGATCAAATGCCTTCTCTGCATCCAAAAATATAAACGCTGCAGGAACTTGGTTATTTTTTTCCAAATATTCCAGTAAATTTACAATTTGTCTAACATTATATCTCATTTGTCTCCCTTTTATAAACCCTGATTGATCATTGTGGATTATTTGTTGCATAACTGGCATTAATCTATTAGCTAATATTTTAGCAAAAATCTTATAATCAGTATTCAGAAGTGAAATTGGCCTGAAATTCTCAGGTTTAATGGAATTTTGATCCTCCTTTGGAATTAGTGAGACAAAGGCTGTTTTCCAAGAAGGTGGTACTCCTCCTCCTGCTTGTATTTTATTAAATAAAATTTTGAGTGGTTCTAACATTTCAGATTGTAGATGTTTATAATAAACAGCTGTTAGTCCATCTGTGCCTGGAGCCTTACCTATTTTTAATAACATTTTAGGAGGAAGCTCTTTCAGGACCACCAACTCTTGTCCCTCCACTTTAATCTTGTTTCTGTAAGAAGCTTGCAAAATATCATTTCTGACTCTCCTTGTTGTGAAATAAATCACCACATCTCTTGGTAGCTGCTTTTGTTTTGCCAGCCAGGAGTTGACCCTGTAAATTTTGTCCACTTGAATTGCCACATCTTCTGGCCTTTCTGAAATCAGCTCTGCTAAAGCATTGGAGCAAACATCTCTTAAATTTTCACCACTCTTTTCTTTCAAACCTCTCAGCCTCAGGGCAAATTCCATTGATCTGTATTGTAACATAACCATTTCATCATCCATTTTTTCTGTTTGTATCATAACCTCACCTACTTTAGTTGCAAGCTCCACGTTAGCATCATCAATTTCCCGTACTCTCTCCTCAATCTTTAACATATGAGTAGCCAGTCCTGAAACTGCAAAAACAATGTCATCTCTTATTTCATTATGTTTTTCCTCCACCACACTTGTAAGATTCTTTAACTCCTCTGAGAATTCTTTCATCATTTCTGTCTGGTTATTCAGGGCACCCATTATAAATTCTTTAAGGTCTTGTGACTGTGTATCAGCCGGAAGTTGTTGTTTTTGAGTCACTACAGGAGAACCTCCTCCCCCTTTAGAAGTTGGTAGCTTTAGTTGTTTAGCAGCCATTTTATTTTAAAAAAAAGTTTTTCCCTTTTGCAGCCACAGAATCTTATAAACAAGCTTACAAAATGTATTTCAAAGTTTTTCCAAAATAAACAATCTTCTCTTCAAACTATGCTCAATCTCCAGCAGTTTACTCTTCAGGCAGAGGGCTCTTAACAAGCAGTTTCCCTTTAAGTTTCACTTTCCCTTCCGCCCATAACAAAGGCTTCCTCTCCAGCCTCCAGCTCAAGAGAGCTCCGTTTGCAACAATGTATTCACGGAGTTAAGTTCTGTTCCTTTTAAAAAGCTTGCACTCTTGCTTCCGCTCTGTCTGCCTTGATAGAAATCATTAAAACTCACTGTTTGCCAGCAGAATTGGACGCAGACGACATGCTCTGATAAACAGAGGCACCAGCGATCCGGAGCATTGGGAGGGGTGAACTGGGGAGCTCTCACCCTCCGAGTCCCTGGAATTAATCCAGTGACTTACGGGGAGCTCTACCCACCCCCTCCGACTCTCCTCTCCTTCTTTGCCCGAAGGAGAGTTTTTTCAAACCGCCGGACAGCTGTTTAGCACTGTCAGGGCGGTTTTAACAGATCGGGTGGCTGGCGGTCTATAAAGACCGTCCTCGTCGGTCCGCGGAGCCACCGGAAGCCTTCGCTATTGCTTAATGCATTGTAAGCCGCCCTGAGTCTTCGGAGAAGGGCGGCATATAAATCAAACTAATAAATAAATAAAATAAATAAATAAACTTAGCTGCGTTCCCCAATTTGCCATGAGAATGTTCTGTGGCCTCTGTTTCCCCTTTTCTAGAACTCTTCTCTGAATAGAAGCTTTCCTTAATGTAAAGAAGTCACATAATCTGAGACTTGACTGCATCTCTGTTTGGGTCCATTAGACATTGCATACAACTAGGCTCACCTGCTCACCTTTCCTTGTTTCTAGTATAAAATGCAGTAAATTAAATTAGGGAGGGGAATTTAAGTTGGGATTAATGTAACTGTATTTAGATAAGAACAAAAGAAATCTTAAAAGATTCTGTTATTAGTGGAGATGAAATCTCTTTCCTGTTATGTTTCATAGCCTTAACCATTAGTGATGCGTCATTCAGCAACCGCAAATCTTCCTGGATGTCATTTGAGCCCTTCAACATTCGACACAAAGTTCATATCTGGATGCAATTCCAGACCTTTTCAGGAAACGGCATCCTCTTTTACACTGCTCAGCATCTGAGCTCACGATCAGGTAAGGCTTTCATTTTACTATCATGTGATGGGGGTGGGGAGGGGGGGGGGGAGAAAGGCCAAATGAAATATTACCTGATTTGATTAATGTGTCATGATTTTGCAAGAGGTGAATTGTTAGGATATTGAATTTAGTAGCTGGAACAGCAAAATGTACAATAGGCCAGAACACACAGTTGTAGTTGATTACAGAGTGCTGACTCATGCATGATGTAATCTACGCTGTTATTAGTTGCTGTGATTATAAAGGGGGTATTTCCTTTCCCCCCCCTCTTTTTCCCCCCCGGTGTGTTCTGTAGTCTGTTTTAGATTTACCTCATGACGTGCCTGTGTTCCTGACGATCTTACGTTCTTCCTTTTCTGGATGATGACAAAGACTGCTATAAATTTGAATATTAAATATGTTTATATTTATATAAAAGACAAGAAGTTTGTGTCCGTGTCTCCAATTTCATCTGGACAGGTGCTGCGCAATTCCTTGACATGAATGAATTGATAAACATCCTGTGATGGTACCTTTAGCACCATCAAACAACACCACCTGACCATCCCAGGTCCTTGGAAAGGGCTCGATAACTGAACAAAAATGCCAAATCCAATCTAAAGATCCGGCTCATTGCATGACAAATCATAATGATAGTGCATGATTAAGTTGACCACTTTTACACTAAAAACAAAATGCACTCAAGTCAGCTGCGACCATTACAATTAAGACAGTTGTTGTGGCCTGTCAGCCGCCAACCCCTCCAGCAGCCAAATCAAAGGAGGCGGCGGTGCCATGGGAGTCAGGGTCAGCATCAAGGCAACCTGAGAGCTCTGAGGGTGAAGAGGAGTGGAGTTGGCAGAGAGACAGACAGAGGCATAGCCTAGGCTGTCCGTCAGCCCTCAGATGGAGAGTCAACAGCCCCCAGGTCTGGAGGTGGCTGATGAGGAAGAAGAGGAACAGCTGGGTCCAATGCTTGATGCACGGATGTGCAGAAGGCAGAGGAGAGGAGAGCAGTGGAAATACATGGGCCGATCCTTGGGAAGGAAGAACCACCGCTGCTAGCGAAGCCCCACCCTAGCTCTGGGGATAAAAGGCAGGGGGCGGAGATGAATAGATGTGGCAGACAACCTGCAATGAGAAACTTTTTTGCCAGTGCTGCCAGCGGTAATAATAATAATAATAATAATAATAATAATAATAATAATAATAATAATAATAATAATAATTTTATTTCTATACCACCCTTCTCCTGAAGGACTCAGGGCGGTGTACAGCCTATTAAAAACACAAAACAAAACAACAATTTAAAATTTAAAATCATTAAATAATTAGGCTCCAATTAAAATCCCAGAATTTAAAATACCCCAATTTAAAATCGTTATGTTAATAGCCCGGCCTGGCGGAACAACAGGGTCTTTAGTGCACAGCGAAACACCCGGAGGTCGGAGATCTTACGTATTTCCGGGGGCAGTTCATTCCACAGGGCTGGGGCTCCCACAGAGAAGGCCCTCCCCCTGGGTGTCGCCAGCCGACATAACTTGGCCGATGGCACCCTGAGGAGACCCTCTCTGTGGGAGCGAACTGGTCGGTGGGAGGCTATTGGTGGCAGAAGTCGGTCTCGAAGGTACCCGGGTCCTATGCCATGGAGCGCTTTAAAGGTGGTGACCAACACCTTGAATCGCACCCGGAAGACCACTGGGAGCCAGTGCAGCTCGCGCAGGAGGGGTGTCACGTGGGCGCAACGAGTTGCACCCATAACCACCCGCGCGGCCGCATTCTGGACCAGTTGGAGCCTCCGAGTGCTCTTCAAGGGGAGCCCCATGTAGAGAGCATTACAATAGTCCAATAAGTACAATAAAGGACTCTTTGAGTTAAACGTCAGAGAGTTTGTCGTGTTTGGGGAGCTGAGTCAGGACAACAGTATTAGGAGGGTCTGGGAGCAGCAACCCAAAGGTGCTTCTAGACAGGCCACTCCTAACATAGTCAGTAGCTTTGAGAACCATGCAGATTTTCTATGTTTCAGAAAGAATCCTATTTTCTGAACAATTAGCATCAATCACTCCATCCAAAGAATGTGATGCTGCCATATTTTCTGAGTCATCTGCTTCCATAATCTGCTCATTTTAGAAACTTTTGCTTTCAACGATATTTCCTAATACTGTTTCAAAGGGCTACAGCAGGGAAGAGGAACCTCCAGTGTCCAGGCCTATTCCAGCTTTTCAGGCCAATTCAGGCAGCCAGTGGAGCAACAAACAAAGCCACTGCCTCCTTTGACTTACAGCCCCATCAAGCTTCACTCATGCCTCATGCATGGATGGACAAAATATTCCAGACAGTCATTTGTTCTCAACACTGAAACATTTTCTCATGTTCAATTCTACTGCCATTTTTGTCATACTACTCAGCTCAGCCCCTATTTCCATTTTTGTACCATTTGCTTGCTATTTTTTAAAATGTACGCAAATGCTTCTACGTTTCTGAAATAAAATAATATTTGCGGTTTTTCACCAGGATAAAATAGGGGAGGTTTAAAGGTAAGATTATGGAATGTATTTATTCTCTTTGCTTTTGAACTCTGTGAGGAAAATCTAGGACATTGCACAAGGGAAAAGAAGATTTTAAAAGCATGAAGTTTTGTCTGAGTAAAAAGACCGGGAACAGGGGCTTTTGACCAGTCAGGTGCCGTTTTTCATAAACTTCTTTCGAGGCTCTAAACTAGGGATCTCCAAATTTAGCAACTTTGCTTGCTGGGAATTCTGGGAGTTGAAGTCCATAAGTCTTAAAGTTGTCAAGTTTGGAGACCCCTGCTTTAAACTCCTGTGTTGACGTAAACAGAAAAACAATCAAAAAGAAGATTTGTGCCCATGATGGAACTGGTTTGTGAAGAAGTCTATAAAAGAACTAAAGGTTGCTTTTGATTTTTCAAATTTTTGAGCCCAACTTCAAGGTAGATTGTTCTTCTGCCTTTTAGAAAGACTATGCAAATAAAGTGAAGGGCAAATAAAGTGAAAGTCCAATTAAATAAATCTTGCGATCACATTTTATTCCGCTTACTGCCCCTCTTTTGCTTCTTTGCTTCTTTGTGCATTAAAAACATAACAGAACAAAATGAAAGTGCTTTCTTTCTTGGATCCTTCAAATAGGAAAAGGTTGAAGCCTCTGTTATGTCAGTATCTAGGATTAAACTGTGCCTCTCCAAATAAGTCACAAGTGTTGTGCATCTCCGTTCTTTGAGCTTTAAGAAAAACGATTTATTTGAGGTGGTGAAGGTAGTACAAGGCAAATGCTAGACAATCTATTAAATGATGCCTTTGCACAGATTATCTGTTAAGACTGTGAACAAGGGTGACTATTCCAAAGAAAAGTCTGTAGCAGCAAAACACATCATCTTTTTTTTTTTTTGCTTGAATACATGTTGTAATGAAGGTCGGTCACTGGTTCTTCGAAATATTACTTTAAAACTAAAACAGGATGTAACATTTCAAATCCAAAGAAAATGTGTTCTTTCAGTGACAAATTGCAACTCATAAATGTTCCATCCAGCTTCACTGGTGGGAAAATGTGGGTTTTTGGTTTTTTTTTTTACATCTGCCACTCCTCATCCTACCCTGATCCACATTGAGCCCAACTGCATGAAGCACACACTATGTATCTTAGTGAAACTTTCTCTCCTTCTCTCTCTCAAATTCCCCAGCTCTTATCAAAACCAAACCTAAACCAGGACATCATTTAAAAGAGAGAGAGAGAGAGAGAGAAAAAAAACGAGCTCCTAATTTTTTCTTTGGAAAAATAAAAAAACCAAAACAGAACAGTGCTCAATACTCAAAAAAGAAATTTTAAATACGGTTTCTTGAAAATGATTTATATTTAAATCCAACAAGGTTGTTTTACTGTATTTAAGAAGAGTATGTGTAACAGGATAGAAGAGAAAGCCTTGGTAGGAAATTTACTTAGTGCCACAAACATACATTTCAAACCACCATTTGAGCCCTTAAAAGAAAAAGAGTTTGCCATTTGTCATGTTTGCCTTCCAAGGAGCCTGCCAAAGCAAACATACTTAGAATGACGAAAGGCCCAGGAGAATATTGGTTAGTGGCAGCCAAAACAGAGGGGATGCCGTTGCTTGGTTTGCAAAGCACATTATGTAAAAAAACAAACCAACCCAGACTCTTTTCTTCAGCTGCTATTATGTAAAGCTTAGCAATGCAATTCTTATTTGGTAGTTATGTAAACCTTAACAAACAAGTACCATGAGATTCATCTGAGTATCTTCAGATTGCTAACTAATGGCAGAGTGATATCCAGTGCTGCCTTGGCATTCTGGATGTTGTAATGTTGACACATATGGAAGATACCAGACTGCTAAAAGCTAACTTATTGTTTAGTTGATTTTTTACTTGCTCAGAGATACTAATGTGTTGCATCTTTTTCTCTTTAGGGGACTTCCTAAGTATCACCATGGCAAGTGGATATATACAACTACGTTACAACCTTGGGGACAGAACAGTAGTTTTACAGACATTCCAACCTGTCCATAGCACAAATAAGACCTGGCTTTTAATTAAAGCAGGAAGAGTTGGTAACGAAGGCTACTTGGATCTTGATGGAATCAACGTAACTCAGAAAGCTACTAATGGCATGACTTCCTTAGATACACAAACTGATTTCTATGTAGGAGGACTACCTTTCTTAAACTTGGTTAATCCCAGGGCAATTAAGAATGAGCCCACTGGCTTCACTGGCTGCATTAGGGAGATCTTTGTCAATGGCAAAGAATTAAAACTCAACGAGAAAGGAGCGAAAGGTGGTTCTAATATAGGAGACTGCGATGGAACACCCTGTGGCTATAGAGTATGTAAAAACAATGGGAAATGTAAAGTTGTAGAGTCTGATTTCTCTTGTTTGTGCCCCAAGCAATGGATAGGGAAGACATGTGAGCGGTCTATTTATTGTTCACATAGTAAGTGTCTCCATGGAAGTGTTTGTATACCCAACCCTGTTTTATTTTCATATACGTGCGCCTGTAAACTTGGCTGGACAGGCCTGTGGTGTGAAAAACAGCTCTCATTTTTGATTGCAAAGTTCACAGGCAATTCATACATCAAGTACATTGATCCCAATTATGAAGAGAGAGATCTCAGATTTACTAGGGTCTCTTTCAATTTTACCACTGGTCAAATGGATGGTTTGCTCCTTTGGTTAGGAAAGGCTGAAGACGAAGATAATGACTTCCTTGGAGTAGGACTTGAAAACGGAATGCTAAAAGTTGTAGTTAACTTAGGAGAAAGAATTGCCGTCCCTCTTATTCACCAAAGAAAGATGCTGTGCTGCAGAAAATGGTATTTTGTTGACATTGTGCAGAACTGGACTCTCATTGAAGTGTATCTTGATGAGGAACTTGTTCTTTTTGAAGATCTGGATCCACAGAGAAAATATACAGTTCTAAACTATGGGGGCATTTGCTATTTTGGAGGGTTTGGACTTGATAGGAGAGTAAGTGCTGTCACCTCAGGACTATTTAAGCAAGAACTAATTGGTAAAATAAAGGATGTTGCCCTTTTTCAGGATTCAAAAAAAATAAATCTAACTAAGGCACAAGGATATAATATATATAGTGGAGATAAGGACTAACCAAGTAATAGAGACAAGGCTGTATTGTTTATTTAAATTTGTTATAGTAGCTCACTCTGGTAGACTATGGGCAAGCAGTTATAGATCAGGGGTGTTAAACTCAATTTCGTTGAAGGCTGCATCAGGATTGTTTGACCACATGGGGCCAGGGTGGGCATGGCCAGCTCGACGTTACTCGCATCAGGGGCGCCTGTGGTGGCCCGAGCACTCTGCCAGCGAAAACAGGCTCCCAAAAGTGGAGCTCACAAGGGCCACCCGCGGTCCTCCCGAGCTCCATGTCCTGCAACCCTCTACCAGCGAAAATGGAGCTCGCAAGGACCACCCGTGGCCCTCCCAAGCTCTGTTTTCACTGACAGAGGCACCGTGGGCCAGTCCTTCAGTTTTCAGATCTAAGCACCCCATGGGCTGGATCCTGTCCCAGGCCTTCAATTTCACACCTGTTATAGATGGTCCATAATAGAACACTTGTAATTTGCAGCCTATTGCTTGTCTGATTTATTTTTTACAAAATATTAAACTCAACATGTTGCTTTCATGGATTGTTTCTATGCTCTTTGATTGTCCACTCAATTCTTCCAATCATACAGTCTGACTTGTAGGTCATTCATTTACCTCAATCCTAGTTTGATTTTGACTCTTCCTTCCCATGTTTCCTTTATGCTTGAAAATTGCTGACTTTGTCTTTTAGGTACTTTTCATGATTCATTCCTCATATTCCTCATCACCATCACCAGAATCACCCACCTGCATTTAATTGTGAAAGAAACCTCTCAAATCAATGTATTTTGCCTCTTTTGTTTCAGCTCCATTTTCTTCTCTTCTTTCTTATCCTCCGCTATCTAATTTCTGCTATTTTAATCTGACCTAAATATTTCCTTGTCAAATTGAATTGCAAAATTTTTAAGAAACTTCATTTTCAAGAAACTGAATATTCAGACTTATTTTATCAACTCAACCAGGATCAAATGGTTTCCTATGACAAATCCACAAGATGGGGGTTATTATTCAAAAATAAAGTTAATTTTTCTTATACCCATTACATTTTTCTTATTCAATTTACCGTATTACCCATTGTCATTAAAAATATATCAGCTAATAGTAGAGAATGGATCATATAATTTGTCAATGCAAGTACAGGTAATCCTTGATTTATGACAATTAACCCCCAAATTTCTGTTACTAAGGGAGACAGTTAAGTACGTTTTGCTCCATTTTATGACCTTTCTTGCCAGAGTTATTAAGTGAATCAGTGCAGTTAACAACACAGTTAAGTGAATCTGGATTCCCCATTGACCTTACTTTTCAGAAGATTGTACAAGATGATCTCATGACCCTGGGACACTGCAACCATCCTAAATATGAGCCAGTTGCCAAGCCTCTGAATTTTAATCATGTGACCATAGAGATGATGAAATGGGTGTAAGTGAAAAATGGTTATCAGTTACTTTTTTCCAATGCTGTTGTAACTGAATGGTCGCTAAACAGATGGTTGTAATTCAAACACCACCTATATCAAATATTATTTTGAAAGTGGCAGAGCTTATATTTTCTATGCTTATTTTTGTGAGCAGTAGCTTTTTTAGTGAGCAATTAAATCATATCAAAACATAAACAATGGTTAATAAATTTCAGAAAGATATTTCCTCAGCTTTAGAATGTATTCCAAAAATAAATACCTAGTACAATGGAAAACATAGTACACCTGCAATTCTCTTACAAATCCCGTATTTTTCAAGGAAAGTACCTTGAAAATACCGTTTTCAAGGTACAATATATACCGTTTCCCCGATAATAAGACCCACCCCAAAAAATAAGGTGGGGTGGGCCCAATATAAGCTCTACCCCAAAAATAAGCCCAGGGGAATGGGCGTGGCCAGAACAAGAGGCATGCGGGGGCTGACGGTGTATGGCAGCAGCCACAGCTCACCGGCCCCCTGGTGCAGCGCAAATACCGGTAAGTCCAAGATAACACAAAGGTGGGGGGGGGGAAGACAGGCGATCAGGACATGCTGTGTAGCTGCCTGACTCATGGGAGGCTCTTGGAAGGCTTGTGCAGAGGTAGCGGCAGAGGCATGGGGGAGGCAGGCGATCCTGATGCACCATATAGGTACTTGATTGGCACAGCCGCAGGCAAGCGGCTGGTGGGATAGAGTGGCCAGTGCGTTGGAATCACCTTTGCCTTTGCCTGGCTCTGCTGCACACTTTTTGCTCCGTTTCAAAGGGTCCCCTTTACAAGCACAGGAAGCTTTGAGTCTCTGTCATTTCTCCATCCGGGCGAAGTGTTTGGTCGCCTATGGGGTGCTTCGGAATGGAGCAAATCACTCCCAAGCGCCTATAGGCAACCAAACAGTGTTCACCCAGACGGAGAAATGATGGAGACTCAAAGCTTCCTGTGCTTACAAAGGGGATGGTTTGAAAAGAGCAATAAGCTCCATTTCAAAACATCCCTTTGCAAGCAGACAAAGCTTCATTCCCCTATGGGCGAAAAGTGTTTGGGCAGCTACCATCAGACCCACCCTCTCCGTCCCACTGTCTGCTTGTCGGCTGCCTCAATTGGGGCCAAGCTCTCAGGATGTCCTGGCCTCCACCCGCCCTGGCAGGAGGGCAAAGAGCCCCCATGAAGCCAACAGCAGCATGGGCAGCCGCTTGGCGGTCAGCAAGCGCCCACTGCAGCCGAGAAGTGTCCCAGGAGCAGCTGGGCCAGCAGGAAGGGCAGGTGGAGGCCTGGGCATGCTGAGAGTTTGGTCCATTACAGCCACAGGCAAGCAGACAGTAGGAGTGCGGGGCCAGCAGTAGCTGCAATCCCACTCCTGCCAGCCCCCTCATTCACCACCTCCTGCACTAAAAAAAAAAAAAAACTTCCCCGAAAATAAGCCTGAGTGCTTATTTTCAAGCCTAAAAGAAAATAAGACTAGGTCTTATTTTCGGGAAAACATGAGTAGCACTTGGGGAGATCTATTATCACTGAAAGCAATTAATTTGTTGGAAGCAGGAATGTTCTTGCCCAAATGCAAAAATATAAGCATTAAACAAAGAAGCTATGGAATTTGGAAGAGTGATGGACAATTAAAGCATTATTTTTTTAGAAAATAATTTTAATCGCTATCTTATGTCTTCCATCTTGTAAGATACATTTTTCCAAAACCACCCCTTACTCAGCAAACCCTAATCCATGCTAGCACTGATGATGTTACCTAATTTGGGTAATGAAACTTCTGTTACGAAACAGCCAAAGCTCACAGAGCACAGAGGACGCCATATTTCAACCGTGAGCTACAAATATTTTCAATGTCTATGGAGATTCTCAGTCATCCAGTCATGATTGTCCCACGGGTGCTTTTTCAAAAGATGATTTTCTGTGTTTTTTTCTTGAAGATGTTTTGCTTCTTAGATGAGAAGTGAAATGTCTTCAAGGAAAAACACAGCAAGTTCAGCTGCCTTCCTTTATTGCCATCTCTCCTTTCCTGAGGTTGCTGTTATTAGATTATGGTTCAAATTTACCAATAATTGGTGAAATGAACTATATGTAACATAGCCTATAGTTTAATTTACACATAAGGGTATCGTATTTTAATGCTTTTCTACAGTTGTATTGAAATTCCTTGGATTATCCATGTTTTGTTGTTGTCCCTCCTGTCTCAAATTATGCCTCACAACACATCTGTGACAACACACGTCACCTCTTCACTTTATTTTCTTGAAATGTTTTGGAAAGCTTTTGATCATTCTTTTAGTCCCTACTTTTTTTAGTAACACCATTTCTTCCTATGTACTTCTCTATTTTAGAATAAGGATTTCTCACCTCTTATTTGAAATCTGCAATAACAAAATAGAAGAAAAACCTTAAGTCAATTTAACTTTGTTACTCTAGATTTTTATTTGTAAGGACTTTTGAGGTATGGAAAATGTTGAAATAATGTTATTCTTCACAGCCCTTCGCTCATTCTGCTATTAATTAAACTATAAATTTGTATTCATTTATTATACTCATACCTTACCTTGCAGGACAAGATTCTTCCAAAGTGATTACCTAACAAGCTACCATTACTATTATATGAAGTAGCATCTCAGGAAGAGCCAAAATATGAAAGAAAATCATAACACACTATTTTTTTTTTTACAATACCTGATGCCAGATTTCTGATTATATCTACTGATTATTTTGGAAGAATGAGGGTATACATAGCAAATATTTAGCATTTTAAATCTTTTTTTAATAGTAAGGTTAACATCCTATTCCTAGTTATGTGGAAGTATCAAAGTGCAGTTAGGATTTCAGTCTTTGAAGCACTGATCTTCTATGCTGCTCATAAGCTTACCTACAGGATTCTCCCACTGAGTATGATGAGACTATTCGGAGAACATCTTCTACATACATATCCAAATAAATATGAATAAAATAGCACAAATTGGGAAGTATGAATATTTAAAATTCACAAGAAACTCCAATTTCATTATCAAAGTGACATCCATCCAACCATCATTTATTATTATGGCTGGTCATGCAGTCAGCCATATGTTTAGACTGGATTTGACATTTTTCTCCACCTATTGAGTTCTTCTCAAGGACAGTGATAGGCAGATGATATTACTGTTACGATACCAATTTGATCTAATGGTCATCAGGCTAGAAACTGAGTGACTGAGTTCCAGCCCCACCTGAGGCATGGGTATCTTGGGTCACATTTTCCCTGAGCCCAACTCACCTCATGTGGGAAAAACAGAAGAAATAAATAATACTAGATATATTCACTACTTTTGAGTTATTTATAAAAATAATAAAGCTGGGATAGAAGTAACTAACACTTACTTATTATGAATAATCTACTGTTAGATTCAGACTAAGCTTGGTGAATATTTAATAATTCAAGTCCTAACCAAGGACCTATCAATTATGAAGGTAGCAACTAAGGATATAGGCAATTCTAAGCAAGTGGTTATTTTTGTAAAATTAGGGTATTCAGTTCTGATTAATTAAAATATTTTCCAAATATGGATGGAATCCTTTGCTCCAAAGGCTCCAATCACAATTGGTCTAACAGAAGATTTCTTTTTCCATAAGCATCCAAACTTGATTTGAAATCCTGATAGATTTTCTTGTTTTCAATAACTGTTTTATCAGACATATCATGAACAAGGAGCCTGTGTGTTTGAATTTTAAATTCCCGTAACGTCTCAGGCTGTTCCTTTTCCAAAACCTTTTCAACTTGATCCTCCCAGTAGTTTTTTAAAAATTTTGCAGCAAAAATTATTATGAATAATAAGCTTGTTATCTTCTTTCCATGACAGACATATAGTAAGAGCCCTTGGGAGAGTTAGACAGCTGAAAATGAACACTAAGTAAAGGGTTTCACAAGGGTTGAAAGTAATTATGGGTGGAGAATGTTGTCTTGTGCCAGATGTTACTCTACTCACTCTTACGGGAAAATTCCAGGCAAAGTCCTCAGTGCCTACACACACGCACACACAATAATTTATCCTAAACCTAGCATATGATTGCATTTCTGTTGAAAATGTACAGACTGATTATATGTA